AATTTCTATATCCCATATAGTGGTTGAAGGTAGTCCCTAGCATAATATATCTTTCTACGTGCCCTGCTCACCTGGTCCATTTGCCGTTAACATTCCGGCTTGACTATATTATTAATAATAATTTCCCAAAAAGATTTTCATAAAAAGTAAATGCCGAAATAAACAAAACAAACCGTGAGTAATATAAGCAATTTATGACAGTACAAACAAAAGAGAAACAACAGTAACAGCCTCCTCCGCTGGGGGGCGCAAGCGAAAAGGAAACGATTTGGAAACCAAAAGTAAAAAAAAAATACAAATAAAATATAAAATAAAAATATGAAATGGGACTTGCTTAAATTGTGAAAAGCCATTAAACGCAGCTGGGGCCTGAAACGCAGAACCGCAATTATCATGAACGAGCAGAAAAAGAACTCCCAGTGTAGCCCCCTACTTCTACCCACTACCCCCACCGCCTCTACCACTCTGAGTTTGCCAGGCCAAGTGAAATCTTGAAATATTTATAAATGGAATAAAATTAGAAGTGGAGATGGGTCCAGCATCCAACTGGGAAATACCATAAATGCGGCTGTGTATCAACACATCATAGACCCCGACAAGCTAACAGGCCTGACAACCTGACTAATATGGCTTTAATAAGCTGGCCAACAATCGGGGGCAATCAGCCATGCCAGCCCACGGGAGAACATGTCCTACGTGACGCACCTAGCCCCAAAGGAAAAGGGATGTGGCTTTGGCCAGAGCTCACATGAGTATTAATTTTATCTCGTGGCCAATCTCTCAGGCTGATCGTGTGTGAAGTTGGCTTTAAACCAGCACTTAAAGTGAATGGGCTTAGAGATCTGAAATCTGAAAGGGGCTTTAAAGAAATATATATTATTTGCTCTACATTTCGAGCTCATCTTCAAATAAATTCTTACTTACTATAGAGAAGTTCTTAATAATACAAGAAAATCAAGAACTTAATTTGAATCATAGGTTAAGCATATCTATAGAGACAAGCCATTGATAAGGTATGCTAAAATTTCATAGAACTCTAGTTCTTAAATTCAATGGTTGAAATATTTGCAATTTACTTATAATATTTACATATATATATATATATATTTTTACTTGGAAGTAGACTCGAGCAACCTTAACTTAAATTTACTCCATATCCCAGAACGAATGCCAAAAAATTATCTGCTTTCAGTTCCGACATCGCATTCAAATTTTTCAAATGATATTTAAATCCTTTTATTAAAAAAGAAGAATTTTAAGAATAATCAGAAGACTTTTTCTTCATAGATAGAGCACAGATAACTTCCTATAGCACATGGTATTCCCGAACAATAGCATGCATTTATCACCCTTTCAAATCCTGCTATTCAAATCCTTTTTCATACCTTTTTTATGCCCAAATTGCCAACTGGGCGATTTTATTCATGAGCATTGAAACATTGTTCAACTCTGATCCCGATTGCCTTTCTCTCTATCCCTCTCTCTCTCTCCCGCACAGAGACTCTATGCATCTGTCTCTCTCTTGGTTTCTCGTTGAATTTATGGTAGAACAAGCACTACAATAGTTTAATTAACATTAACGCTGACGCCGACTACTGATGGCAATAAAAAACCATTAAAAGGAATTTATTTTAAGGACCGAACCGGCTATAAATCACATTACACGCTCCCATAAAAGCAAAAGCAACAGAAATCTGAACAGCAACTGAATGTGTGGAAAGGGGCTGAAGGGGGAGAGGGTGGAAGTGCGAGCAGAGGATGGTTGCAGAAAGCTCGAACTGTGGGGCAGGTGCCTTTGACTGCTAGGGGCGTGGCAGTGGGCGTACTCTACTTTGTCATTCCACTCATGCACGTTGTGAGTATATTGGGTTGAGTGTAGAGTACGTTTGAGTAGAGACTGTAAATATGCTCTATTACTAAATGTATGTATTTAGTACTGGTCTAAGTTTATTCTTAGTTTATATTGAAGGTAAGGATTTGAAATAAACATTTGTATGTCTGATATACATTTTATGTAAATATGTGGTAGTGCAGCTAGAGATTGAGATCCAATACCATTTGACTAGTAAGCTAACTACTATTGAGCTATGTTCAGGATAAGTTTTAATTTTTTGGAACAGCTATCTGCAAATAAATGACGTACAGATAGGTAAATCAGAGTGATAACTGCAGAAATTGTTGACTCCAGCTTTATAGCTGTAACATCCATCTACTTCATATAATCCACCCTTTGGATCATGACATAAATTCAATTTTGAAATAATTTTTTATCTATTTAAACGGGTATTTGGAAGTCGGTTGCAACCTTCCATTTTCTTTCAATTTGGTATATCCAAAAAAATCAAACATTGTAGATAGAGGGCGATAGGGAGTGAGAGAGATGGTTAGCTACCACATACATAGTAGTAAAAATTGTTTATACGCATAGTTTGTTGCCTCCTTTTATTTGGCTTTTGCGTTTTTGTTTTGTTTTATATCATCAGCGTGTTGCGTTAAAAGCGTTGGCATTAAAAATTACGAGGAAAAGTTAATGGAAATACCGTTTTGATATTGGCAGGGTAGAGCCTAGTTGCGTGCACCTCGTATGGCCTGGCTGGGCCAATAGAGTCGAGAGCTAGTAAAAGTTATAGAAAGTATTAAAAAAGTCACTTATTCAAATCATATTTTGCACATAAAACATTAACTATGCCTCGCATTCTCGCTTTTGGCCCCTTTGCTTTGTGCTCTATTCGCAAACGTTTTGATTAGAGCATAAGCAGTTTATAATATCAGAATTCAGTTGAAATAATACGCTTTCTATTCGCATAAGAAAACAACATTTGTTTTTATGTTTATCCACGTCTCTCTCTCTTTCTCACTCTCTCTGCCTCACTCTGTCTTTGTCGGTGTCTCCCTGTCTGGAGAGACAAGTGGAGTGTATTGAAGCATCCTTTCGGCGGATATATATGAAACAATACAACCATTAAATTGACTGGCTAAAAGGAAACACATTGATTTGCCATTTTGAGCTCAAATTCATGGCAATAAAATCAGCGCAAAGTTTGCTTGTCTGCTTCTTCTTCTTCTTCCTCTTTTTTAATGCCACTTTCAATATTTGTTTTAAGCAGAGGGGAGACGGACGGTTGGTCCTCCCCCCTGCACCGCCACTGTTAGTTGTGGTTGCTCGGTCGCCTTTGCCTTGTCGCCCCCATCGCCCCGCCCCCTCCCAGCGCATGCTGTGTGAAATTGTAAAGCGCGTTGTGTAATCGAAACTTTTAACGATTTGATGCGATTCGAAATTGTGTAATATGAAGGCACTAATACTCATCCAAATGGAAATCGAGTGCTCACACACACACACACACAGAGAGAGACAGAGGCACACACATGGGTGTGCAAATAAATAGCATTGGGCATATCCTCTTATTGAGGGTCCTTCAGATACATTATACATCGCTAAAGTTGCGCTACACTCAACAGTGTAGGGCATATCAATTGATGCCATACAAAGTAGTGTTTATTTTTAAGGAAATGGAAAATCAAAGAAAATTGAAGAGCCCACAGAAGTTTTATTTTGATGGTAAATATAAGATAATATGGTATATTTAACAGAGTCTTGCCAATTTTATACAGTTTGTATGCAATTTTATTCAGGAAATATTTAGATAAGTATAAAAGCTATGGAAATTTTAGAGCTCTATTAAAACAATATGAATAGAAAATCATTTAAAAATTAAACTTAACTGAAAAACTATTTTTGAGAATAAACAAAATATGTAAATGTATATATTTTATACATATAAGTATAAATATATATATAATATAATATAAATAAATATATATAATGAGTTAATATATTGTATTATCTTTTATTCTTTTAGAAATAGAATATCAATAAATCAAAATATCTTAGAGTAATGCTGTATTCAATAAAATCTGCAAATTTAGTTGGGATATGCATTAAAAAATAAATAGCAATTATAAATAAATATCATCTAGAAATGAATTGAAATTAAAAGGAAGCAACAAAAACTTTAATCAAATGCTAAAAGTGACTTAAAAATTCGTAGTCGTCCAGCCAGTGGAATTTCGGAATTGCCTTGGAGCTGCGAAAAAACCAATCCATGTAATTCGACGACAAAGATGTGCTAATAAATTTCAACTTAATTTCCGAAATGTGCATCTAACACATAAAAAGCTGAACACAAACACGAACAGGCGCAGCCCCTCCTTCAAAAGCTGAGACAGCGACTGAGACTCCGACAGAGACTGAGAAGGAGACTGAGACTCAATCGCCAGGCAGCAAAGCAAAGCCTGTAACGGAAATGAACAAGAGCGAGCGGGATTGAAATTTGGGAAAGGGGCAGAGTTAGTGTGTGCGGGAGAGTGAGAGGAGGAGAGGGAAAGAGCTGTGTCAGATTGAGTTGCCAGGCAGCGTATTGTTCTCGAAGCGTTCCAAGCTGCCGAAGCAGGCACAGAGCAATAGAGGGACGGAGAGAGAAAGAGAGAGGGAGAGCATGGGCAGGCAAAAGCAAAGCAGGCGCAAAGTTTCAAGTATGGTTTTTGCATAAAACTTCAATTTAAATTGACATTTGAGTGGAAAGTAATTGCATGATATGCAGGGAGAGCATAAAAAAGGCAGGCACCATCGACGGGCTGTTACTTATGGCTCTTGCGAGTGGGTGGGGTAGTCGCTGGGCTGGGCTGGGCGTGTTTAATATATGAGCACTGCGTTTGCAGCTACTATTTTTAGGCATTTAATGTTATTTTCAAGCTGCCTCACTCCCACTCGCAATCCCACTCCCTCTTGTGTCTTGTGTTGTCTGCCCATCTCCTTCTTTCCAATTTGTTTTGTCCGCATCCATTCATTCATCCGTCCATCCATCCATTGCGGAAGGCTCTACGTAGCTCATTATGCGCTCGTTTATATGCCGAATTTGTTGTTGTGGTTGCGCCACCTCCTCCTCTTCGCGCTCTCTTTCTGCTGTTGTTGTTGTTGTAAAGTTTTGTGCACATTATGAGGGTCTGAGTCTGGTTTTTATTTTCGAGCACAGCGTAACTGTATGCGGGCAGTGCTCTCTTCCGCTCTCTCTCTCTCTCTCGCCCTCTCTTTGTCTTACTTGCAAATTAAATGCCAATAAATTTGCATTTTTTTGTTGTTGCCTTGCAGAGATCTCAGCAAAAGTGTCATTTAGAAGTTGTAGGTGAGAGTGGGAGAGTTGACAAACGCACACACACACACAGTCGTACACTCCAATTGGATTTCGTTGGTAAGTTTTCCAATCGAATTGACCAACTTTCAATGTTGGCAATAAACGTTGTTAATTTGTTTTCCATTTCAAGCACATTCATTTATTTATTTATTCATTTCCTGCTGTACTTCGCCCCATTGTTGGGCAATTGTTTAGAATTTTTATTGAGATTAAAAATATATGTAGCTCGCCTTTTTGTTTGCGCTGTGTGTTTTCCGATTGGGGTCTAATCAAATGTCTTATCAGACAAGCAGAAAGCCCAGACGATTGCAATTTCCGATTGTAAAAGATTAATTCAATCATTTCAACAGATGTTTGATAGACCTTGACTGAAATATGCCAATGAATAGTTGATAGATGATTTCAATTGTATTCGTGAAAAGTTTTCAGATGATGGCATTATCAAATTGATCTTATAAGGTCTTTATAGAAATAATACAAATACTATAAAGAAATATTTTATTTGATTTTCTGAAAAGTTTTCATTAGTTTTTTTCTATTAGTTGTAATCCACACTTTTTCTGTTCCTCTCTCTGTTCTCCCCCTCTAAATTGTTAATTCTCCTATAAAACTCAGATACATATTAAATATATACTTGTGTATATGTATATAAATCTATATTTATTTTTAAATTAGAAAATAATATTTGTCATTTCAGACAGTATTTTATAGCTACCCACTATTTTGTAGCTATAGTTCCAGTCCAATCTCTTTGGCTAACTATCCACATCCACAGATTCGTCCTCCACATTCGCTTGAGGCGGCTCGCTTCTTCGCCTCATCATCATCTGCTGCAGTTGGGCGACGTGGCAGGGCTCCAGTTGCTGCATGCAGCCGTAGTAGAGCACGTCCGAGATGAGCTTGCGAGCGAGCAGCTTCTGTCTAGGCGCCAGCTCCTCGAACTGAGTGAGCCAGGTGTGAGCGAGTGCCTCGGATTCGGAGAGCGTGGACAAACGCTTGCGCTGCTGCCTGTTGCAGGTGGGGGAGCGAAGCGGAGACGTGGGACAGTGGACAGTGGAACACAACTCGGCTGCAGTGGGTGAAGCAGGAAATTCATCTTTGACAGCAGAGCGACGTTTCTTACGCTGCGGATGGCAATAGTGTGTGTGTGTGTGAGAGAGAAAGAGAGAGGTATAGGTACTGAATTACCACAAGTTCAGGCGGAGTTTCAAGATCAAAATTGCTAGATTTTTGCAAGATCTGACACGAGCTGTGCTCCTCTTGGCCCTCCAAGAAGCTTAGAAGCTCAAAGTACCAGAGCGTCGATTCGAACGGCTCCTCGTCGCTGCAGTGATCGCGCTTGCGCAAATCACGACGAAAGTTTGTGCGAAACGAGTTGATCTTTTTGACCACGAGAGCGCGATCCGCGTCCGGCTCCACCTCGCGCAGCTTCTGCACCAGCTGCTCGTAGCCGGCTGATTTCAGAGCACGGCTGCTGTACTCCGGACTCTTGACCTTCCACACAGCCGGCAGCGAGCGATAGAGCTCCAGAAACTCTGTCCAGAATTGTCGATCGCGTGAGTTCATTTTTAATCCACATCCAACAACAACGCCAAAAGCTGTCCACAGCTCGAACTCGCGCGCAGCACTAAATACACAAAAGCACAAGCTTGCATGCGCAAAATGCAAAATGTGGGGAGAGCAACAACAGCAACTTGCCGGATGCCAGATGGTGCAAAAGAGAGAGAGAGAGAGAGAGAGAGAGACAGAAAGCAACAGCAAAACAACGTGAATTGATGCTCTGCAACGTTTGTTGCTTGTGCAAGCGTTTGCGCTGTGCGCTTTGTGCTGGCATTCGCGGTGCTGACACTCGCTTGTGCTAAGCAGAGAAAACAGCAAATACATATGCATGGGTATACTTGTGTGTGTGTGTGCCTAGGAAGTGATTTATGCAAAGAGAGCAAGAGAGTGTAAGAGAGCGCATAAGCACAGCAGCTGTTGTTTTGGCAGTCTGCTGATCCATTTTCTTCGCCAGCCGCAAGCACACACACACACAACTATATGCATATGTACGTGCTTGCGTGAGTATATATGCAAATATATGAAGCAAAGGCGAACGAGTAGCTATCGATACTTTTCGTGTCACAGTCAGCTGTTTTATTCTGCAACTAAAGAAGAGTAATTTAATTTGAAACTGAACAGAGACTATGCTCGCCCCGAGGATGAAAAGGTTAAATCTCAATTAAGTTGCTACAGCTCGAAGCTTCCGATTCGAGTTGCTGCTGCTGCTTCAGATGTTGCAATTACTTACTGTTTGACCCTTTGTAAAGTAATTTAAATAACTGTATTTACATGGCAAATGGCAAATATTGATGCCGCGAGGACATTTAAACATGACAGCAAACAAACAGAGCGTACAAGGACCAACAGGATGAAGACATTATGCACTTGTTTTCAATTATGTGCCTGAGAGAGAGCAAGATAGAGGGAGATAGATAGAGTGAGAAAGGAAGGCAAAAAACGAATCGAATTGAAGGAAACTAAAGCCTTTTGCAAATAGTTGTTAAAATATGTCAATAACCTTCAGCCCCGCCCACCAGCCGAATGGCCACATCAGAGCAGAAACTTGGCCTGGCCTGGACCAGACCTTTCGATGGACCCAGCCCCATCCTCGACTCCGACTCACCAACCAAGAATTGCTAACGGGACATTGGTTTGCCCAGGCTGCCAGTGGGCGGGGGAGCAGCACGGGAAGGCGAACGACGCCAAGGATGGGGCAGAGCAAGCCACAGGGATGGGAATCTCTGGGGTAACTGTATACACGACTAAGCGCAGAAAATGTTTAATTAAATTCCAGGACACATTTGGCATGTTACATTGCTTTGGTCTGTCGAACCGCACAGTCCGCACACACTTTCAGTGGGTATTCGGAATCGCCACGAACTTCCGTCCTGTTTATCCTTGTCGCAGCAAACTAACTAACGCAAATTGTAATAAAAATACCGAAACGTAGCAAAAACCAAGCAAAGCAAATTATGTGCTCGCCCTCCTTCTCTCTCGCTCTCTGTCTCTCCCTGGTTCCCCTTTGGCTAAGCTATTGACATTCTGCTGCGGTTTCTAGAATACAATATTGGCTCTGACCAAGATCCTGTTACAGCAGCAGCAGCTGGCTTCATCAATACCTTCTCTTAAAGAACGTTTCTTAAAGGTCGAAAGTGCTGAAAATTGCAGAAAAATGAGAGTGCTATAATGGAGGTAGTAATATATAGTACGGGAATCTAATTCCCGAGTAGTCATATTTAATATTAATATGTTCACTAATAATATTTGTGATAACAATTAATTAATATGATATACCATAAATAAATATTTATTTTAATTATATTAAAGTATTTACTGAAATATTTTCTATAAATAGTTTTGAAAATTTAAGATTTTTATAAGAAATTCAGAAATTTATTGGAGAATTTAAAAAGATTGTGCAATATTCAGTAGAATATCATAAAATATCATATAAGATATAAAAGTACTAGAAAGGTCTCTATTCTACATTCCAAAAATTTACTAAGTTACAAAGTAGAATTTTAAATATAGTTAAATAAAAGAGCAACTCTAAATAATATTATTATTTAAAATTTATAATTTTTAAATTATATGAGTTTATACTTGTGGTACATTTTATCTGTCATCATCTAGAAGACACAAGAAAAAAAAAAAAACACCCACGTTTACTGTTTTTCCTCAAAAAAGAAAAAAGGGAAGTAAATTGGCCATGGCCTGGAGCACCGGTCTGGAGTATCTAATCAAATAAGCCGGCAAATTGCGCTCGGCTCGCCGCTGCTAACTCGAGTCGACAATAAAATGTTATGACCATACGAAATTTTCAGTATTTTCTTCTAAGTTTTCTTCGTTGCTTTTTATGTAGCTCCATTTGTAAATCTGAGAGACGGCATCTGTATAATGTGATGGCCTTTTAGAGGCCAAGTCGAGCATTTAGGCAACGCTTTTTTATGGGCTATATGGTTGAGTCGACTCCGACTCCGACTCCAACTCCGACTCCGACTCCGACTCGGCTTGACTCCAGTCGGTGTCTGTTAATGATTGATAAACCGCACGGGACCAATCAACACCCAAAGACCAATGCTATGGTTCGGCGTCTTAGAAAAGAGAGTGAGGAAGTGGGAGAGTGTGGCAGAGGGGGAGCAGAAGGGGTCCTACGGGTACGGGGCTCTCAGATGTGCATCAAATATTGCCCACATTGTCGTGAGCAGCTGTGGAGGGACTGTAGTTGGCATAAGTACGGGCTAGTTGCTATACCAGTTTCTTTATTACAAAAAGGAGCTTGGGTCAAAACCGCAACAACAACAACAACAATAGCAGCAACAGCGAAATCGCAGCCAGCAGCGACGTCGTAAAAGAAAACAATATTTTAAATAAAGTTTAGAGCTGAAGCCCAAACGGGTTTTCAAGTTAACCAAAACAACAAAAACAACAAAAACAACCAAAACAGCCAACATGCAACCCAACAACCGACCAAACAACCAAACGTCTGACCGACCAACCCAACATCGTGACTGCTTCGCGCTTGTTGTTCTTGTTGTTGTTGTTATTGTTGACGTCTTGGTCTTTGATGACTTTTTAACCAAAGTTGTTGCCTGTTGCCTCTTGTTGTTGTCGATTTTTATTTTTATTTTTTTATTAATTTTATTTTATTTTTATTTTTTTGTATTTGTATACCCTGCAGATAACCGAAATCTGTAGAGAAAAGAATAAGCTACCTCAAGGAACTCGGCGACTTCTATTGGCAAAGCCTGGAAATTCGGTATGTACGCTCTACACAGCATCTATGGATAATAAGACTGAAATATCTCGATTTTCGGATATAAACAGAAAAGCCAAGTTAATCTTAGCTCAGGAAACTAAAAAACTAAAAATGCAACAAGTTTGGTGATAAACGTGACTGAAATCAATTTGTAATAATTTCATGAAACTATTATGAAAAATATAAATATGCCCATCCTACCTCAAGGAACTCGGAAAATACCCTTGTGAAACATTACATTCGATATAATTGTTAATAGATAGAAAAATATATAATTTAAAGCTGCATTTTCTGAAATGCATATATAAAATCGAAATAAAATCCTATCCTAACTACTAGAACTCAAGAGTTACAAGGGCCATGCTCACAATATATTGCTAGTAGGGTCCTTACTTAGCTTTAATAATAATTGCACTAAGTAAATCCATTATTTTAAACAACAAGCCCATTATAATTTAACTAAATATATCCATCGTATAATGTAATAACTTATTCCAAACTAAAGTAACTCAAAATTTATAAATTAAATACTTACATAGTTTTATATGTATATTCATAATTATATTTAATACAATTTTGTTATAAAATATTCCCTGACGATGTATAGAAAGCTTATCCTCAGTCCCTAAACTTGTTCATCCACTGCAGCTAATTCCAGGGTATATTCTCGTCGATCGCTGTTGACTGCTCTTCTGTTTTTGGCTTATTGCTGTTACCATAAAAGCAGTTAAACCACAAACCACATCCATTGCCGTAAAACTTCTTGTTCGTAAACAACAAACGCTCGGACGCTGGGACAGACGCTTTGTTGTTTGGCTGGCCCCAACTGGGGCTCGGGCCCCAGAACTGGGCTTCGCTGTCTTCTGGCCCAAACACCATAAACATGAAACGAATCTAAGTCAAGAAACAGGTCTCGAAGCCATGGCTTAGACTTTATCTCCAGTCTGAGCCAAGAACTAACCTAGGTCTAGCAACTAGTTTGACAACGTTGTTCGTACACACTTATTTATTTATTATTATTATTATTTTTATTTTTTTCGTTTGGCACCGTCTATGTGACGGCTATGGGTATGTTTTTTATGCACATGCTTATGGCTTTTAAGATAAAAACTATTATGATTGCTAAAACGTGCAAAAAAAAAATATAATAAATAAAATAAAAACAATAACAGCCGCGAAAAAACAAACTCGATAGCTCCACAAATGGTAGAGTCGAAGTACATTTGCACTCAAGCACACGACCAACAGCCAGGTGAGTGTGTGTGAGTGTCTGTCTGACCGAGACGTGAAATTTATGCTCTGGCATAATTAACTTCAAACATGATCTCATAAATTCATCTCGCGTTGTTTACTTTAGGCTAAGCTCAGATCTTTGTTGGTTCTGCCTCTGCCTCTACCGCTGACTCTACCGCTGCCTCTGTCTCTAGCTGTTGCTGAAGTGGAGCACACAGCCGAGTGCACTCCAAATCTGGGAGTCAAATAAAAGCACTACTCATATATATACGTGGTCCATTTCCTTATTTCCTATTCCTCGTGTGCGTGATCTATGCAAATATATTGGAGATCTTTTTGATAAATAAATACTTTATAATGATAACAGTTTCTGCATTCACAATAGTATACGTTTTAAAGATCTATTAATTAGCAAATTATACCATCAGTAAATAAAAGGCGATAAAAGCAGATAGTTTGAAAAAGTCGTTAAGTCATGATTAATTATATTATACTGAATGAATATTCATTACATTGTATGAATCCTATTAAAATCGCTTTACGCTCCATAACAATGCTTGGACCTTAAAAGCCGCATACCAAAAGTTTTCAGTGTCAGCTTTGTTTTGACTAAT